CACTCGTCTGTCAGTTTGTCGTACTGTGGTTGCTTGTGAGTTACTGTGATTCTGGAAGCTATGCCATGGGTATTTTAAATACCAATAGGGTCACCTACAGTAGACAGGTTTCAGGTGAGTTTCCAGACGAAGACACACTAAGATGAACTACTTCTGAATATTTACTCACTGAAAACCTTATGAATAACAGAGAAACACTGCCAGATATAGTGCCGGAAAATGAGACCCTCAGGTTGGAAGTTACTCAAAATGCGACTGGGGAAGAGCTGCCTCCTCAAATTAGTGATGATGCAAATGGGAGTAAAGCCTGTGGGACCTTCATTTGCTGATGGGCACAACTCAAAATGAAGAGAAACAGCTGTAACCATCCATTAATAACTGGGACATGGACTATGTGAATTATGAATCTAGGAAAATTGGAAATTGTCAAAAATGAAATGGAATGCATAAACATCGATATCTTAGGCTTTAGTGAGCTGAAATGGACTGGTATTGGCCATTTTGATTCTTACAGCCAACCACATGATTTACTATACCGGAAATGACAAATTGAAGAGGAATGGTGGTGCATTCATTGTCAAAAAGAACATATCTAGATTCATGATGAGGTACAACACTGTGATAGGATAATATCCATGTGCCTACAGGGAAGACCGATTAATACTATTCAAATTTACGCACCAATCACTAAAACCAGTGAGGATGAAATGGAAGAATTCTGTCAGCTTCTTCAATCTGAAATTGATCAAACATGCAATCAAGATGTATTGATCATTACTGGTGCCTGGAATGCAGAGGTTGGAAATAAAGAAGAAGGATTAATAGTTGAAAAATATGGCCTTGGTGATAGAAATGATGCTGGAGATTGCAGGATAGAATTCTGCAAAACCAATGATTAGTTCATTTCAAATACATTCTTTAGATAGCATAAGAGATGATTATACACATGGACCTCACCAGATGGAATACACAGAAATCAAATTGACTACATCTGTGGAAAGAGATGGTAGAAAAAGTCCTTATCAGTCAAAACAAGGCCAGGGGCAGATAGACCATCAATTGCTCGTATGCAAATTCAAACTGAAGCTTAAGAAAATGAAAGCAAGTCCATGAGAGTCAAAATATGACCTTGAATATATCTCACCTGAATTTAAAGATTTGATGCAACACCCCTGGACTCCAGGTTTAGTTTAGGATCCAATTTATAAGGAAGAGGAAGTGTCGACAGAGAACAGGTATTATGCTGATCAGTAGAGATGTTTACTATAACCAAGTTTGGTGACCAGATAGAAAGGGTGTGGTGGTCATTAGAAATAGGGCTACACCCTGTTGGGTTGTAGGTTAAAACAGCTCCCTGGTAGCATTGTTGTTGTTGTTGTTATGTGCTGTGGAGTTGGTTCCGACTCATAGCAACCCTGTACAGGGTTTCCGAGGCTGTAAATCTTACGGGAGCAGAAAGCCTCATCTTTCTCCCGCGGAACAGCTGATAGTTTCGAACTGCTGACCTTGTGGTTCACAGCCCGATTCGTAACTGCTACACTACCAGAACCCCTGCTGACTGTGAGATTAGCAGCCTGACTCATAAACACTATGTTACCAGAGCTCCCACAGCATTGTTATTGTTGTTGTGAAGTGCCATTGAGTTGGTCCCAACCCATAGCGACCCTGTTTGGGGTTTCCGAGAGCAGCTGGTGAGCTTGAACCACCGACATTGCAGTTCAAATGGCTTTGCAGTCTGGCGCATTAACCCATAGCATGACAACAGGACTTTCCCACAACATTGGTAAGCTATAAAACAATAATAGCTGTGCTTAACACCATTACACTGGGTCCCTTCTGGATTTCATTAAGAAAAACAAGTTTAGGGAATTGAATGGTGTTTTATGTGTGTGTTAAGATTTCTCTAATTTTAGAAAAGTCAAAATCACAATTTTAACATTTTTTTCTAGGAAACTTCTTTCTGTAATTGTATCCTTTTCATAACAGGTGCAGGGAAGTCGACATTTGTGAATATCCTAAAACAAATCTGTGAGGACTGGGAAGTTGTTCCTGAACCTGTTGCCAGATGGTGCAACGTTCAAACTACTCAAGATGAGTTTGAGGTAAGAAAATGAAATTTAACTGAATAATTAAAAAAAAACAAAAAGTTTTCCAGTACAGCTTTTAGATCTTTAAGTCTCTATCTTCATTTAGTAGTGGTTACATGAGTGGATTGTACAGGGAGGCTTCAAAAGTTTGTGGAAAGATGGAATTAAAAGATAATGAAAAATTTCCATGAACTTTTTAAAGCCCCCTTATATATGTACAAGGAGCCTTGGTAGTACTATAGGATAAGCACTGGACGGCTAACCACGCGGTTGGCAGTTCAAAGCCACTAGCAGCTCTGCAGCAGAGGCAGTCGGTGCCTGTAAGGATTTACAGTCTCAGAAGCACGAGACAGGGTTGCTGTGAATTGAAATAGACTTTGATTGCAGTGGGTTTTTGTTCATATATGTACATTATGTGAGGCAGTCCTTGGGTTAGGAATGTGGATTTAAGGACAAGTAATTGCAAGGTTGGTGGTTCAAGCTCACCAGCTGCTCCTTGGGTAGGAACCGACTCGACAGCACTTAACAACAACAACAACAACATAAGCACTGGACTACTAACTGAAAGGCCGGCAGTTCAGACCCACCAGCAGTCCTTGGAAACCCTATACAGGATTGCTCTAAGTCGGAACCAACTTGACAGTACTTAACAACAGCTACTTGCCTTGCTCCTCGGAAATGCTATACAGGGTTACCACCAACTACTACTTGCCTTTAAATGTTAATGTAAATTTGCTCTTACTTTGAAATGATTGAACCAACCCCTGCTCACAACAAATTTGTCACAATCACACTCGCTTGCACATTCAGCTTTTAAATAATTGAAAATGCATTGAGCCTTATCTTGTACTAAAGTAGAGTTAAAAAAGAACCATATGTACCTGTTCCAACTCACCTATAAATTCCACTAAAAGACATAGTTAGGAACAAATCTCATTCATAAACCTGGGCACTGCCTGTATAATCCAAAACCAAACCCATTGTCTTAGAGTTGATTTTCAAGCCAACGATAATTACAGAACCGCTCCATAGAATTTCCAAGGCTGTAAATCTTTATGGAAGCAAACTGCTGCATTTTTCTCCCACAGAGCAGCTGGTAGGTTCAAACCATTTGTCTAAGAGAAAACTATTTATCTCTCCTTTCTTTGTATCCTTTCACCCTGAACACAAGTTTATATTTGTTAGCACTTTTCCTTTTCCAGTGGAGAATTTCCATTCTCCATTGAAAATGAGAAGGAAAAGGGACAACAGTTAAGTTTTATTTTTTTTATAGAAAAGTCTTTTATTTGTTGGGGTTGTGTGTCTGTGTTTCTGAAGAAAAAGAGCGAGTTTAGATTCATTTATTTTTCAACTAAGATTTTAATTTCTGGAGAAATGAGAATTGAAAAAAAAAGCAGTAAAAACAAACCTGAATTAAAATTAGAAATGTGTGCTAAAAACTTATATTGTTAGGTTTAAGAATAGAGAATTGAAAAAACTGTCTTTTTAATGCTTTGTTGTTTGTATAATGGAAGGTTGGGAATCATAATGGCAAATCACATATATAAGGAAGATTCACTAGCAAGATACTCTATAGTCTGAGCATATTTGGTTTTGAATAACCAAAAATATTTCCACATTCACTTTCTGTTTGCCAATCATAGTTAATTTTATGTCTGGGACCCATTCATTACACACAAACGCTTAATGGTTTCAATCTTGAAGGGACTTCCTTCCCATTTGAACCTGATTTTTTACAGAAATTGATGTTCTCCAAAGTGGCAGCATCAATGGGCTCAAGTGTGGCAACAATTGTGAGGTTGGCCCAGGATCAGGCAGTGTTTTGTTATGTTGTGCATAGGGTTGCTATAAGTTGGTACCTACTCGATGACACCTAATACAACAACAACATCTGATCTTTTGGAGAAAGCAAAATTAGCCATAAGTAAAAAATTAAAGTGGGTGAATTTATTAATTTGCTTTGTTTTTTCAGCATTTTAAATTAACATATAATAAACCTCTAGGAAAGTGTATGAAACCTGTGTGGGTTTGAAGAGCTGTTTTAAAGCCAACACTTTTATAATCATTATCAGGCTAAGAAATAGAACATCACCAGCATTCTAGAAGTCCCCTATTTGTCCTTATCTGATTACAGTATCATCTTCTCTAGAGTAATTGCTCCTTTAAGGTTAATCATATAATCAGATAACTCCTATACTAATAATTTTCTTGGTTTTAAAAAATAATTTTAGCACACATGAACTTATACCTAAGCAGTAATAATTTTGTCTATTTTTTAATGTAATGTGAATGAAATAATGTAATTTGCCTTTTTTTTTCTTCTTGTGTCCTTCACTTAACAGTGTATTTTATCCATATTGTGTCTAGCTGTAGTATCATCTTAGGCAAGCTGCACAAGACCTCTTTAAAGTGTTGAAGAGCAAAGATGTCAGTTTTAGGACTAAGCCATGGTATTTTCAGTAACCTATGCACACAAAAGCTGGACATTGAATAAGGAAGACCATAGAAGAATTGATGCATTTGATTTACGATGTTGAAGGAGAATACTAAAAGTACCATGGACTGCCAAAAGAACAAATAGATCTGTGTTGGAAGAAGTACAGCCAGTGTTCCTTGGAAGCCAGGATGGCCAAACTTCATCTTTCATACTTTGGGCATATTAATCAGGAGGGACCAGTCACTGGAGAAGGATATCATGTTTCATAAAGTGCAGGGTCGAAGAAAAAGAGGAAGACCTCCAATGAGATGGATTGGCACAGTGGCAGCAGCGATGGGCTCAGGCCTAGCAAGGATTGTGAGGTTGGCGCAGGGCCGGGCAGGGGCAGTGTTTTGCCCTATGATTTGGTACCACCTTGATGACACTCAGCAACAACAATAGCTTGCTCATTTTCATCGCTATATAGTATATATGGCTCAAGTAAAACAGTGATTGTGAGGATAGCTCAAGACAGGGTAGTGTTTATTTCTAATTTGTGAAGCGTTGCTATGAGTCGAAGTCTTTTATGCTTTTAATTTGCATTTCTCTGGCTGCAAATGAAATTGCACTCCTTTTCATGTTTATTGGCCATTTAGACTGGTTTTGTGAAGTGCCTGTTCAGGTCCTTTTGCTCATTCTCCTTTTGGTCACCTTCCCCAGTCCTGCATTTTTACCAACTGTAGTATGTCTAGAGTTCTGGTGTGGCACTACAGGGTAAACACTGGTCTGCTAACCCCAAAGTCGGCGGTTCCAACCCACCAAGTGCTCCTTGGAAACCCTATACAGGGTGACTGTGAGTTGGAACTGACTCAATGACACTTAACAACAACAACAATGTGTCTAGTGGCCCCTGAATTTATAAAGACTTTCACTGAAGTGTCCTACTTATATTTTAAAAATGAGAGACCTATATTCTAAAAATATCTTCTTTCCTCTCATTTCTGGGGTGAGCTGTCAATGTAGTTATTTTCAAATGGTAAGTAATATAGAGGGTATTCCAATACAGAATGTCAGTGTCAGAAATATAGAGGGTATTCTTTTGTGGGGAGAACATTAGACTGGCTCAGACAAGGTGACCTCCATTAAGTTCCATTATAACTTCAGTTCCTAGGTTCTCTACTTCTGTTAAGTGTGGATTACTGGTTTGTTTGTACATGCTTCTCAAGAACACTATATATTAACTAAGGTTACAGAAAGACGCTAATATATAAAAACCAAAATGCCAAAATATTTAATACTAAAAATGTATTTGTCATATTTACTAAATGCTAATCAATCTATTGTGTCTGTTTAGGCCCATCATTGTTAATCAGTGGAAAGAAACTCACAAGAATCCCATAGTTGTTTTAAATAACAAAACAATTCCCTTGGGGTTTCACTTGCATAGAATGCCTCCTTGTTAAAAATTACTGCATAGTGAATCACTGTTAGCATTGGAGTGCATTGATCTCTTTAGATATTTTGCAGAGAAGCTGGAAAAACATAGCTCCTCAATATACATGGGAAATCACTTCATAATTAAGAGTTTAGAACTAGAGAAGCTAGACTATCTTAATGAGTTAACATCATCAGACTATGACAATTAAATACATCTGTCTCCATCTTAAGGCTTAATGACTTCATGGATCTGATAACTTCTTTCCAGGTACCAGTGTCAGAATGCCAAGCTGACCTGTCATTACAGCAACTGTCCAGATGATCTTTCAGTTACTATTAACATATTCTTTCATCAGAGAGAATTCACTGCAACTTATAGTCTTCATGATGTTACAATATATGATGCCTTCACTGGATTGTTAACAATATTTGTATCTCCCATATTTTCCTGATTTTTATGTTTTGGTGAATGTTTATAGGGCAGATTGATTTTCCATTCAACAATTCATATACATTTTGATTTGTGACATTGAATGCAATTCCCACATTGTAACAGTACTCTTCCTATTCCCACTGTGTTCCTTTATTTACCATTTCCACTGGTCCATCTTTCAGATCCCTTCCTGTCTTCCGAACTTTTTATCCCTTTTTCTCTTGTATGGTTGGTTGTCTTTCTTCTTAGTGCCATTGAGTCAGTTCTGACTCATAGTGACCCTGTATAGGGTTTCTGAAAGCATAGTGGCTCCATACAATAAGCACTGGACTGTGAACCACAAAGTCCATGGTTTGAGCCTGCCAGCTGCTCACCAGGGGAAAGAAGAGAATTTCTACTCCTGCAAAGATTTAAACAGCCTCGGAAACACAATATGGAGTCACTGTGAGTCAGGACTGACTAGATGGCACGTAACAACAGCATAGGTTTTCTCAGACTTTAAATCTTTGTGGGAGCGGAAAGCCTCATCTTTCTCCCGTGGACCTTGTGGTTCACAGTCCATTGCTTATATGGAGCCACCACAGAGGCCCGTCTATTTGACTGAAAGTTTAGTTCAGCACTTCCAGACTTGAAGGGTAACTAAGAACCACAGGGGTTCTGTTAGATCAGTTGTAAATAAAATAGCCTAGCTTTTTTATTTTTTGAATTATTTTTCCCCATCTTCATTGG